GTCCACTGTACAAAGCAGCACTGACTGCATGAACAAACTGCAAGTATCTGTAAAATCTTGAGACTAAAGGTAGTAGTCGCATGTAACAAGACAATGGAGCAAGCTGTTAATTATTCACAGATGAACAGAAGTGAAGTTGTACCTATTCTGATAGAGCCTTTATTGATGTCATCTACAGAAAGCATGTGGCCCAGATTAGAAGTGTTTATTATACATCATTTCCAAGTGCAGGTGGAGAATTAGAAAGAGATGAAACAGATGTCTACTGCAAGCTGAAAACTTCAGCAATTATTTCTATTTTAAAACACTCTTAATTGGATGCATTCTTAGGAAGTCAGGGAGTACACTTTATGACAGTGTTTTAAATCTACTGTTTAAGCTTTTTTTGGTGAAGATCAGCACATATTTTTATAATGATTAACGATTACATGACACCCAAATATGACACACCTAGGGAATTTTAAATGGCATACTCACCTGACTTATTGGTGTTACTGGATGCTTGAAAATTACTAAGTGATTTGGATAATTATTTAAATTAAATGTGACTAGTTAAATTGTGTGAGTGTATGCCATGTATCTGCAGACTCTTATTTTCCTGTGTTGAGTTACACCTACATAAAACTTCAATTAAATGTGACTTAAAATTCCAAATGGTAATTGCTGTCACTAAGAAGTAATCTTTGTTCTTAAAGATTATCTCTGAGTTGCATGAAATCCATCAGATTCAGCTGATAAAGAGATCACCATTAACACTTGTAAGGAGGACATAAAAACAATGGCTGAAATCTTCTTGCTTAGCATAGTATATTGCAACTAAAGTAGGCTCATTGAATAAATTGGGTATTTGGTGAGACAACTCCATAAGTCCAATTGGTTCAATGGGCTTACTCTAATTACAGTTTACTAAGCTATGCAACAGGATGTCAGCAATTATTTTTTTAAAAAGATCGCATCACATAATTATCATATTTTAGTCCTGAAACCTTTCATTCAGGAGTCATTTGGAAGGATATTTTCCAGTTTTCAATTTTTAAAATATTTTAAAAAATCAAAACTGTAAAAACAGAATGTATTATTGGAATGTGTTGCTTAGTGCTTTATAGGTTAGCAGTGCACCAGCACTTTAAATTATGCCTGGAATTCCTGACCAACTCTGTAAGCATTCAGAAACTGCAGCAGGTCCAAAATGTGGCTGCCAGGGTAACTGTGGCCTGTCAATGGAATTATATAATGCCCATTACAGCAGCTCCATTGCCTGCCAGTCCATTTCCAGGCACAATTCAAAGTGCTGGTTCTAACCTTTAAAGCACTAAACAAGATGGGTACAAGCATTTAAAAGACTGTATCTCCCTTTATGAGACTATCAGGTGTGAAGATCATAGAATGGCCATAGGGTTGGAAGGGACCTTGGAAATCTTCTAGTCCAACCCACTGCCCAAGGCAGGAGACCTCATGCCATCCCTGCTCTCATGCCATCCTGGACAGATAGCTGTCCAATCACCAGGAATGGCCTTACTCTCAGTCCCACCACCTTCATGGGCACATTTTGTGAGGACATGGGAGAGGGACTTCTCTGATGTTGCTCCCAGACTCTGGAACATCCTCCTACAGGAGGCCAGGCTGGCCTCCTCTTTGCTGTCCATTCACAAGCAGGCAAAAACCTTTCTCTTCAGGCAAGCTTTCCCTTAATGACTGGCTGGCTGAATTGGGTGTTTAAATAGATGGTTGTGCCTTACTACTTGGATTGTGTTTTTCTTGTTGCTTTTTTTCAGTGTGGTATTTGTGTGATCATTTTTAGTATTTGTATACTGACCATTTTTAGATTTAAATATTATTTTTGAATGATGTAAATCACCTTGGATCTTTCTTAAGGAGAAAGATAGGGTAAAAATATTTAAAATAAAAGAAATCAATACAAATTGGGCCAACTTGCCCTGTATTCCTCAGAAGACATTTCAAACTTTTTTTGTCCCAAGTCCATGACATGCCCCATACATTCCCAGATCTCTGATTTCTTTTTCCTTAACAACAAGAAGAACAACAACACCTAATGCTATGAACTGAAGGGTGGTAGGTTTTATGCAGTCCCCTACTTGTGAGACAATCCATTCAAAGCCCATGCAAAAACAGTCCTAAAACACATTTAAAAACCCACAAAAACACAATAGTCCCATTTTAAAAGCTCCCTCTTAGATAGATAGCCATTAAAAGAAAGCCTGCCTGAAAAGAAAGGTCTTTCCCCAAAGTTGGGGCCACTCCATCCTTTTATAGCAAGGGGTTCCAGAATCTGGGAGCTGTCTCCTGTGTCCCCAGCAAACACATCTGAGAGGGTGGTGGGATGGAGTGAAAGTAACAAGTATAAGGTGATTACTTTCTACTTGAAAACGTATGTCCAAGTTCTACCTTTTTTAAATCAGTAGTTTTAATATCAACAATATGGTGCCCTGTTGTGTCAGCACCCAACACCTGTAGACCTTTGTCAAATCCCTGAATAGGATCCATCAGCCCTGATCCTTGTTGTACTGGTTGTTAAGTGGCTACAAGCTGCCATATAAGATTTCCCACAATGGGTTTCCAGGGTAGCACTGCTCAAGGCTATTGTGGGACATTTCAAAAGGGCTGTGTTAATCCCAGCCTCTTTCTCACTATAATAGACACGTAACACATTCATTCTGCTTAGAAATAGTTGGTGTTGCTTGACTTTTTTGGCCTTCCTCTGTAAAAATTACTCAGCATTGCCCTTCTCTGAGTACTGTACCAGCCCACTGAGCTTTCCTTTTAAAGCACCTTTTAAAGTGGGCTTTGGAACACAAAAGCAGAGGCTGGAAAAAAAGTATTACTCTTCAAAGTACATCAAGAATCTTTTGTGTTGAGAAACATAACTGTTCCTGTGGAATTTGTGGTTTTATCTTTGAAGCACATTATTCAAGCTTTTCTGACATAACTTTTCTGTTCACCTGCTTTTATACAATCTCTAAACTCTCCTGTTTTACCATTACTGGGTCCGTGCATCAGTAAGGTAAATGATATGTGGTTACTTGTATTTCTATTTATTTGATTTATATACTGCCCCATTAGTGAATGCACTACTCTGGGTGGGGTACAGTGTCAGTCTGCTGGCTGTTTCACATTAATGTTCCAGCTGTTCCCTTGGCTGGAGGGCAGAGTTTTGAATGTCATACCATCTTCTTGGGATCCCTAAACTCATTTGATGCATCAGATGTGGTGGAACATACTAGCTGTTTGCTGATGCTGAAATAAAATAACATCATAATAACCATGATTAGAGGAGGGATATCCTTAAGGACTGACTGTGTGAGTGTCACAGCAGGAGTTTCTCTCACATGCCACATCTCGCAAATTAGCTTACTTTGTTTTGTAATTCTTCTTCAAGACTGAACAACAGGATTCCTGTGAAATTTGATTGCTCAGACATGGAAGTCTGCCTGAGTAAGATCTTGCCAATATTAAGATACATTCAGATCTTATTAAAGACTGTCTATATTTAGTTATTGCTCTCAGAACATGAAAGTCTGGTGTCTTGAGCACTAATGTGGTTTCAACTGCAATGATGGATTCCCCCTAATGTATATGTTGGCCTCAAAATACTGCTCATCTTTTAATCTTAATAAAATAAGAATTGCCTTGCTGTGCCAGGCCTGCCATTAGGGAAAGAGAGGCACCTGTCACAAGTAATAGATGCTGAAAAGTGAGAAACAGAGAGGGGTCTGTCTGCCAGTTCATCTTCCTTTGCCTCTAAGATAGGCTGACACTTTCAGATGTAATGGAAGATGCTGTTCCTTCATGGGCATGAAAGAATTATTCAGCTGCCATTCTAGTTGGTCTTTGCGCTAGGAGGGGAAAAACAATATGGACATGAAAGGACCATGGTCAACCTTTGCTAGCAAGATGCATTGGACTGGTCATGACCAAGGTTTTATGTAATCTAGCATTTTAGTTCAACTACTGACCTGATCATCACAAACTGGATGTAAAGGTAATAACTTGGAAAGGTTCCATATTGCTTAAACAGAAGCATTCTGAACACACTTATAGGAAAGCTCATACAGTTGGTCCACTTTCTTGCATATCACTTTCTTCATGCTTCTAATTGTCAGGTTGGGATAGGAGAGATCCCTGATTGTGTACAGGCTCTCCACTTGAGCAAGAACCCAGATTTTCCTGAATTCGGAGTCATGTGGAAAGCCTTTAAGTAAGTAGAAACCTTTCTTCTTTAGAGCCTGTACAATAAGTGAGAACAAAGTATTGTAATGATGGAAGGGGACATGGCTAGGTGCCCCACTTTAAGCAGGTTCAGAAGGCAGGATTCTGTGACTTACTTCTAAGGTCAAAAACGTGTGTTGAAGATAGTCCCTAATTAGAGCTGAAAGCATGTTGCAGAGAGGTAACTGAGGAAATTTATTTATGGTTTGTGAATGCTTAAGTCCTCAAGGCCAATCACCATAGAAAGCAAGCTAATCTTTATACTTAAGGAAGTGATAGAGGGTCCTGCTGTAACACTCAGATGCCTTCATTGGGGGCTTTCCTGTTTTAATTATGCCTATCTCTGATGTCTGTATCTGGCCTGAAAATAAACATCCAGATATTTGGGTTCTACATTGCAATGATCCTGAGTTCAGCTCCTTGGAAGTATAGCCTACTGAAATCAATAATGTCCACTAAATATATGTAGGATCAAGGTATAAAAGAAGACAATAAGTGTGATGCTATTGATCCCTTTGCTATTCACCCCATGTATCATATAGAGAATACAGTTTGCAGCAGTCATCAACAAATGAAACACAGCTCCTCTGTTGTTCACTATTGTTTGTTGTTGCTATTGGTAATGTTGACAATCCTATATCTACAGCCACACAATTGTTCAGGGAGTGAGTGTCCACAGTGTTTCATAGCAGCGCAGGTGAGATAAGAAAAAGTACTTCTAAGGGAATCACTTGTATCAATGATATTTTTAAAAAACAAGTATTTTCTCCTTACAGATTCCTTTATCATATTGAAGAACCTGGAACCAGCAAGTGATTCATAATTCAAGTGCATCCTGGAAATGTAAGGTACATTTATTAATATTCATTTAAAGGAATATACTGTATTGTGGCTGTGTCTTGATGCTTGAGGAGCAATTTGGCCTGGGATTAGTTTGAGCTGTAGTGCCATGGTTACAAATGTTGGAAATATTGTTGTTTTGTTGTGTGGCACCAGATTAGCATCTCCCTAGCAATCTCAGTAAATATAGACATGCAGTGGTTTTGAAATGGGAAGCATAAGATCGAGGGAAGTCTACCCTAATCCTAAGCATGGTGACTCTGATGTGGTAGCTTTCACACCTTGGTTACTGAACTATGAAAAGCAAAGGCATTCTGTAGGCTCCAAGAGAAAACATCTATATTTGGAGCAGTTGGACTAAAGTAATCAAAGGATAATTCCATAGTAGTCGGTGGTATTTAATGTTCTTTCTTGAGTAACAAGCTAATTGGTCTGACTTCCTGATGTTGCAAGATCACTCACCAGTTTGCAGATATTTGACCATACAACAGTCACCACAGAAGTATATATTTGAATGATGACTGTGTAATCAGACACCTACAAGGACTGACATTATAGCATCCTTCAAAAACGTGAGGTTGTTGGATGAGGATACTGACATATACTCTTCTAAACACATGAACTTTTTTCGTTCTAGTGTGCACTGGATTTTAAATCTAAGATATTTGAAAATCAGATTTGGAAATAAAAATAGGCCATAAAAACTATTGCAGAAAAAAGAATGCAGTAGCAGTCTGATTCTACCTCTTAGACATCTTTATTTCAGATCAACTTCATATGTATTTTAAGCTATAAAATGTGGCATGCTCTGAAAGTATTAAAAGAGTAGAATATGTGGGGAGTATGACTGTACTGAACAGAGAGTTCAATCCTGTATATGTATATCTTCTGTAAATAAACTCTATTTGCTTGTTGGAACTTACTCCAAGATGAGTCTGGGTTTGCAGTGGAATAAGTCTCATTGACCTCAGCAGTACTTTCATCTGCTTACAGACAAACACAGGATTGTGTTGACAATTCTGGAAAGTTTATGTAGTAGAAAGGGAATATTGGCCACATTGTTATTATTCTGTATTTATTTTAAGTTATTCCAGTTAGGTTATGTTCTCTTCCAAAGACATCACTTGTAGATCAGTTTGCAGTCTGCTTAATTGACTCAGACCTACTGCCTCTTGTTTCCTTCTTCGTTGTTTCAGATGTGATTGTATCTTCTCTCAATATATTGCCAAGATGTAGAATTTACAGCTTTAGCAAGCAGTTTTGTATAGTACTGTGCCTTTAAAAAGGGCAATCTGCATGCAATCTGAGGCTGCCATGCATGAATTTGTTAGATATCCACATTTATGTAAGAGTTATCTGTGCTGTAGAAATGAAAACTAGCATCCACCATGCGGGAATAAAATGAAAAAAACAAACTTCTAAGCGAAAATGGACAGTGTAGAATGGAACCCTCTTCATTTTACCAATATGGTGTAGTGGAGCCAGGCCTGGCAGGTTCAAAATGCAAGGCCTTTCTGAATAGTAAGAACGATTCCATTATCTGCCACCCACCCCACCTTCCCTTGTCTCTTTGAGTTTCTCTGAAATTCTCAGAGTAATGATGGGGTGAGGGAATTCCCTGAGCAATAAGTTAAGATAGTTGGGGGTGGCTTGTTTCTGAATGGACAATTAAGATGAATTTGCTGTATGTGACAGAGATGAAACCTGATATAACTGGGTTGTCGATATTATAGACCAAAACAGCTGCCTGCATTTCTAGACTCCTTCAAAGGAGTTTTGAAGTTGACAGAAGAGGCAGGGGATGCCATAGCAAACTAAAAAACAGGCTGGAGGGAGCCTTTGGATGGAAGAGTGGGTGGGATGGAATGGCTACTATATTGGTGGGGGGGGGGAGGGTGAGTGTTAAAGGAGATCTGTTCCAGCCAGCACAGTTGCATGCATCTAATTCTATATTCAACATACATGAAGAGTAATTTGATAACAATTATTGCTACTGGTATCAATAGAGATCAGTGTCTTGCACTGGTATTTTCTATACTATTGGACTAGTATCCTTAGAAGAAAGCACCATGGAACACATTGAAAACAATCTGTATTACAAAATACTGACATTTGTAGTAATTTTGTGTTACTGTAATTGCTAAAACTGGTCCCTAAAGCTGGTTTAATGCCAAATTTGAAAAAAATTGTTTATGTTGAGGATGGAATAAACTAGCACCAGAATCACTGTAAATCTATGTAGAATGATAAAATAAGTTATATCAAAAGGGATGCTATGATAGCAATTACAGTATATGACTACAAAACACTTTGGACTCAATGGACCAACATTTTGCATTCATAGAAATTTGGGCAGCTCACTGACTAAAACGAAACAAAACAGTCCTTACATTTACTGCTTTGCTTACTTGATGCATGAACAGATTATATATAAGAGCACATTCTGGGGTATTGTATTCATCTACAGATTATCGCTTTTTTACTTGTCTAGTGCAATATTTGTGATTATTTGTTCTTCATTACTCTGGATCTTATGTATCATTTGCACCATGGCAATACTCTTGAGATTTTGTTTACATGAATTCTTCCATATCAATTAGATTAGTAACACATAAAAATAAACAGTGCCCTTAGCAACTGTAAACTGAACATGAAATTGTGGTGGATACGTCTTTGTCTGTGATTGACTTTAATATACTGATATGCTACAAGGGTTACTTTAACATGACCTGGATAGTCAACAGTTGCCAGGAAATAAATTTGCTGCAATTAAATTCTATAAATGGACAAGGAGATGACTTATCTCTGCTATGCTTATGTAGGGAAAATCCATACTGATACCTGAGAGCTTTTAATCTTGAACCCCACTAAAGGTCTAGATTCCTCTGCCATGCCTATTGAAAATAGGACCTGATCCAGGCCATAGTGGAGGGATCTAGATCCAAAGCCTCCTCCATCTCCCAAAACACCTCCAAGTTAGGTCCCAAATGGATACCTCTTCCAGGCATGCATAGCTTTTTTACCCCTGGGCCATTGCTTTCAATTGCATATATGAGAGGAGTCTTTCAGTATGTTAGATATCTTCCTCTTACATCTGTTCTTATACAATTCTTCCAAAGAGGGGAGTGAACAGCCAATGATGTTTTGGGCCATCTTAATCACCCTTTGAATTGCCTTTTTCTCTGCCACTGTGCAGCTCGTGAAGCATACACAGAGCTGCTGGGAAAGAAGCTAAAACCCTAAAGTGCCCGCCACACTTTTGGTACTGGCTGGAGTGAACCACTAGAGCTCTGGAAACTGGACTCTGGAAGTGGCAGATTGTTTAACGTAGACACCCCTACACATCCCCTTAGAATTGTTCTGTAAGCTCTGAATATAGGACAGGCTTAGAAAGTTGTAAGTAAAGAAATTTCTTTCTCCAAGCTAGAAACCAGATGCACTCAATGAAGCTGATTTGCAGAGAATCAGAACAGAGAAGCCGTCTTCACTTATTCAGCAGATACTTTAACCCTTGGCCTGTTTTCAATTCCACAATGGGATTTCCTCAGATATACATGCCCTGGCAATTCAGATTAGCAGATTAAGCTGAAGTTTCATTTGCAATGGGCCAATCATACCCACACCCACACCCACACCCCAAATGTAAGACACAGAGACACAGAGGCTAGGAAAAACATGTGTTATGGCAAATTTTGGCCACCTGGAGGAGCATCTTTACAAAAAAATATAATAACCACATCATGTAGTTGGGCCCTTTGTTTCTCCAGGGAGCTGAAATATGAAAATCTACACAGATTATCATAGCACAAAATTTAGATTTCTGTTTCAGAGCTACTCCTCCCCCCCCCGCCCAATTTTCTCCACTTGATGGCAATTAGATCCTTATTAATTTCCAGTAGTCCTTATTTCATACTTAAATGATGAGAATTTCTTGGAAACAAGGACTTACTGTGTTCAGTTTTATTAATTATACTTATCTGAGAGGAAGTAGATCTACCCCTTGTCTGTTTGGATCTCCCCTGTTGAGTGAATTCCTAAAATGCATGAAGAAGCTGTTGGCTTGCTATTTAGTTCCCATATCAACATATTTTGTAGTTTCCCTAAGGAAAAAAAATTGACTCAGCTAGAAGCCAGTTTGTCCACTTATTTCTTATTTCGGCTCCACTTAGCCGTCTTTTGTCTACCTCCCAAAGTTACTCTTGTAGTTCGTTCTTATCGTGGAATGTTGTCCTAATCCACATGGCTCAGGGTTGTCCTTATTCACATGGCTCAGGGTAGTATATCTGGATGTCATTCCCCATTTTAACCTCATGATGACATTTGGGGATAGGTTAGGTCAAAAGTCAGTGATTCACCTCTGCTACCCTTAATGCCATAAAGCTTTATTTCAAATAAGAGATTTCAGTGGCTCCCTAATTTGGTCTGTGCCCAAATAAGAGCACACAGATTGGGACCCAATTTAATCTGTTTCCTTTTGGGTATATTCCTAAGCAATCTATATATGTGCCAGTACAGTGGTGCCCTGCATAGCGACGATAATCCGTGCAGCAAAAATCATCGCTATACGGATTCGTCGCTATGCGAAATTAAAAAGCCCATAGGAATGCATTGAAACCCCTTCAATGCATTCCTATGGGCTTAAAACTTACATTTTAAGTGGAAATCCTCCATATGGTGGCCATTTTAGCTGTCTGGTAAGCGAGGAATCCATCCCTGTTTTACCCGGTGGCCATTTTGGAACCACCAGTCAGCTGGGCAAAAACATCGCTATGCGAAAATCGGTAAGCGAAACAGCTTACCGATCATTGCAAAGCAATTTTCCCCCATAGGAAACATCGTTTTGTGATTGCAAAGGCGATCGCAAAAACATCGTCACTATGCAGATTTGTCGTTAAACAGGGCGCCCGTTATGCGAGGCTCCACTGTATTTGTATGTTCCTGGATCTCCATAAAATACCCAACACCCATGAATGGGCAAATGCAAACAGCCTGGAGAATGATGTTATAT